TCCACTCTTCACATTTGTCTTGGTAAAATTAAATCTTGCCAGAAAAGTCAATGATAGAAAGCAAATATCATTAAAAAAATTTTTTCATGACTTCTTTTACCTGATTGTATTCCTTCTCTTTCTCTTTTAAAATAATCACCCTGCACGAAAATACTTAGTTGTTGAACAAATTCATTTTAAGCACTCATTTAAGCAAGTAACCCCTTTAAAATGCGCAAAACAAATGTAAAGCTAGCCTGATGTTTCGAAACCTTGTTGATGTACCAAAATGAATCAAATACAGGGTCAGCATCTTACTTTTCAACTGCTCCGTCTTCTTTTCAAGCGTAAAAATTTAAACACCAAAAATTCTGCCACTTATTAGATATATATATATAAACTACTAACAAATCTATAAACTACTGACTTTCATTACTGTTGTTGGCGCTGAAACTCTTCCTTGATCACTGTTAGACTAAGGTCAAACTGTTTCCTGTGAATTTGCAGCGCCAATCAAAAGTGTTGGTCCAAAAAGCTCCCTGTGAAGAATGGCGCTGGATGGCATTCTTAAAAAACCCTTTGCCTAAATCAGTACTTCGCTCTGTTAAGCCTTTATTTTTCTTTTGTTTACTTACTCAGTTTCTCCCTAATTTGGTTGCAAGTTGATTGTTCGGTTTGGTGCACAAAACCCAGAAGGTTAAAAGGCAATAAATGGACGGCATTCTTTTTTTTCTATGTAACAACCCCGCATTAATCCTGTCAACAGACAAAAGCAATGCTATAATGTAAATGTCAAAAAGTTCAAAATCATAATGCAGTAAATTATAATAATAATAACAATACTGACGACAATAATATTAAAAGTAAAATTAATAATCGCAAATAACAACAATAATAATAATAGAAATAATAAATAATCATAAATAGTAAATAGTGACGAACATTCATTAATGTATCATTTTGTTCCTATTCCTTCCGCTCATTTTATCTCTCATTTATCTCCTTCTTTCTTCCAACCCCAACTCAGTATCTCTTACGGAAACAGGAAATCATAATAACCAGTTAATAAAGATAGAAAAAATTTTTTTTACAGCAGTAATTTGGCTACGAAAAAGTTGGCTCCAATAAAAATTCTCCTACCTACTCTACCCTCCCCTTCCTGTCCCACCTTTTTTTTTCATGGATTTAGCTGCATGTATAGATCTAGTGGGGCGTGAATTTCCATATAAGGCGGCGCTAATTCGTTGAATATAAAAAAATTTTTAGTATAAATTTGCAGAACTCATAGTGGAAAAGTTTATTGCGACTCGGATCCGACAAGTCCAGAATCATCCACCCGAGAATTTTCCACCTTTATTCCAAGTGTTGGTAGCAGCAGTATCCGCAGCAGCAGTGGGAATAACAATTACAGCAGTCACTAATATTATCGATATTACCTCTTTTATTATTGCTACTATCACCATTATTTCCATTATCACTATCACCATAATCATTCACTAATACTACCTGTACTTAACGCCTAATATATTTCTATATATTTCTATATAGAGATATAAATATTTAGATATATATATATATATA